CTTTATTGAGATGATCATGATTTTTTTCTATTTTGTTTGTTAAAATTTTTAAGGTGAAAATCATAGTAATGTGCCCAATTATTTCTTTGCTTTCAACTATTAAGCTTCGGATGACACTTGGGCTGGAACCTTCTTTACCAGGTTGGCAATAGTGAGCATCCTTGCTTTGTTAGCAATTGCAAGGGAATGTCTCTAATGTTTTCCCTGATATTATCATGTATGCTGTTAGTTTTTGTAGATATCATTTATTAGGTGATTTCCTTCTAGTTCAAGTTAAATTGGAAGTTTTCATTGTGAATTAAGGTTGCATTCTACAAACATTGTTTCAACACATTTAAAAATCCTATGACTTTTTTTCTGTTGGTATGACTTACATCATGATTAATTATGGTATTAAGGATTTGGTTAGATAGTAATCTTTTATGATTTTGACATCTGTTTTCATTGGTGTCATTGGTGACATTATTGACTAATTTTACTGCTACACTCTCATGGAGCAGGGAGGATTTTCCTTATCTTTTTTTCCCACACAATTTTTTTTTAAGATTTCATATAAAATGGAGTTGTTTATTCCTTTAAGTTTTGGTAAAACTCCATATAAAGTACCAAAACTGAAACAGGAATAAATAGACAATTTGAACAGAGCCATACCCAATAAAGAAATCAAATTAGTAATCAAAAATCACCCAAAAAACAAGAGTCCAGGGCCAGATGGCTTTCCAGGGGAATTCTACCAAACATTTAAGGAAGAGTTAATACCTATTCTCTTGAAGCTGTTCCAAAAAATAGAAATGGAAGGAAAACCTCCAAACGCTTTCTATGAGACCAGCATTACCTTGATTCCAAAACCAGAGACCCCACTAAAAAGGAAAACTATAGACCAATTTCCCTGATGAACATGGATGCAAAAATCCCCAATAAGATATTAGCCAATCAGATCCAACAATACATTAGAACAATTATTCACCATGACCAAAGGGGATTTACCTGGGATGCAGGGCTGGTTAAAAGAAAGGACAAGAACCATATGATCCTCTCAATAGATGCAGAGAAAGAATTTGACAAAATACAGCATCCTTTCTTAATAAAAACCCTCAAGAAAGCAGGGATAGAAGGATCATACCTCAAGATCATAAAAGCCATACATGAAAGACCCAATGCTAATATCATCCTCAATGGGGAAAAACTGAGAGCTTTTCCCCTAAGGTCAGGAACAAGACAGGGATGTCCACTCTCACCACTGTTATTCAACATAGTATTGGAGGTCTTAGCCTCAGCAATCAGACAACACAAACCAAAGGCATCTAAATTGGCCAGGAGGAGGTCAAACTTTCACTCTTCGCAGATGACATGATACTCTATATGGAAAACCCAAAATATTCCACCAAAAAACTACTAGAATTGATTCATGAATTCAGCAAAGTTGCAGGATATAAAATCAATGCACAGAAATCGGTTGCATTCCTATGCACCAACAATGAAGCAACAGAAAGAGAAATCAAAGAATCGATCCCATTTACAATTGCACCAAAAACCATAAAATACCTAGGAATAAATCTAACCAAAGAGGTGAAAAATCTATACACTGAAAACTATAGAAAGCTTATGAAAGAAACTGAAGAAGACACAAAGAAATGGAAAAAGATTCCATGCTCCTGCATAGGAAGAACAAATATTGTTAAAATATCGATACTACCCAAAGCAATCTACATATTCAATGCAATCCCTATCACAATAATATGAGCATTCTTCACAGAGCTATAACAAACAATCCTAAAATGTGTATGGAACCAGAAATGACTCCGCATAGCCAAAGAGATCTTGAAAAAGAAAACCAAAGCAGGAGGCATCACAATCCCACATGTCAAGCTGTATTACAAAGCTGTAATCATCAAGACAGTATGGTACTGGCACAAGAGCGGACACTCAGATCAATGGAACAGGATAGAGAACCCAGAAATGGACCCACAGTGTATGGCCAACTAATCTTTGACAAAGCAGGAAAGAATATCCAATGGAATAAAGACAGTCTCTTCAGCAAGTGGTGCTGGGAAAACTGAACAGCGACATGCAGAAGAATAAACCTGGACCACTTTCTTACACCATACACAAAAATAAACTCAAAATGGGTGAAAGACCTCAATGTAAGACAGGAAGCCATCAAAATCCTCATGAAGAAAGCAGCCAAAAACCTCTTTGACCTTGGCCTCAGCAACTTCTTACTCAACACATCTCCGGAGGCAAGAGAAACAAAAGCAAAAATGAACTATTGGGACCTCATCAAAATTAAAAGCTTCTGCATAGCAAAGGAAACAATCAGCAAAACTAAAAGGCAACTGACAGAATGGGAGAAGATATTTGCAAACGACATATCAGATAAAGGGTTGGTATCCAAAATCTATAAAGAACTTCTCAAACTCCACACCCAAAAAACAATAATCCAGTGAAGAAATGGGCAAAAGACATGAATAGACATTTCTCCAAAGAGGACATGCAGATGGCCAACCGACACATGAAAAAATGCTCAACATCACTCATCATCAGGGAGATACAAATTAAAACCACAAAGAGATACCACCTCAGGCTAGTCAGAATAACTATAATGGCTAAAATAAACAACTCAGGCAACAAGAGATGTCGGCAAGGATGTGGAGAAAAGGGATCTCTTTTGCACTGCTGGTGGGAATGCACTCTGGAAAGCAGTATGGAGATTCCTCAAAAAATTAAAAATGGAACTATCCTATTAACCAGAAATTGCCCTACTAGGTATTTATCCGAAGGATACAGGTATGCTGTTTCAAAGAGGCACATGCACCCCAATGTTTATAGCATGGCTATCAACAATAGCCAAAGTATGGAAAGAGCCCAAATGTCCATCAATGGATGAATGGATAAAGATGTGGTACACACACACACACACACACACACACACACACACACACACACACTGGAGTATTACTCGGCAATCAAAAAGAATGAAATCTTGCCATTTGCAACTATGTGGATGGAACTAGAGGGTACTATGCTAAGTGAAATTAGGGAAAGACAAATATCGTATGACTTCACTCATGAGGACTGCAAGATACAAAACAGATGAACATAAGGGAAGGGAAGCAAAAATAATATAAAAACAGGGTGGGGGACAAAATGTAAGAGACCCTTAAATATGGAGAACAAACACAGGGCTACTGGAGGGGTTGTGGGAGGGGGAATCAGCTAAAAGGGTAAGGGGCATTAAGAATCTACTCCTGAAATCATTGTTGCATGACATGCTAACTTGGATGTAAATTTTAAAAAATTAAATAAAAATACAAAAAAAAAGTTTGGTAAAACTCAAAGCCATTTATGTTTTAGTTTGTTTCATGTATAAGTAAATATTTGATACACTTGAGTTTCTAATAGTTACATAATCCATAGTTTAGATTCTGTATCATTCTTGATAAATTATAAAATTTAGATTATCTTGAAGTTTCTATATTTATTAGGAAAATTTATTGATAATTTTTATTTTTTTAAGTTTATCCATTTTGGGGGGGGGGCAGAGAGAAGGAGAGACAGAATCCCAAGTAGGCTCTACACCATCAGTGCACAGCCCTACGTAGGGCTTGAATTCACGAGCCCCGGAGATCATGACCTGAGCCAAGATCAAGAATCAGACGCTTAACTGACTGAGCCAGCGAGGCACCTCTAGTCATAATTTTTAAAACTCTACTCTATATGATGTAGTAGTTATTTTGCTCTTTTTTCCTGATTTTTTTCCATGAGGTGGTCTATTTAGTTAGTTTGGTCAACTATTGGTTGTTGATTATTTTGTTTGTTTTCTATCTCACTGAATTTATATTTATCTGTATTAGTTACATTTTACTTGAGTTTAATGCTTAGCTCATTTTAATCTTTTCTACTCCCCTATTTAGGCATTTCAGGCTTTAAGTTTTCTTGTAAGTACTTTTGTGCTAAATCCCACATACCATTTGATGTGTAATGCTCTAGAAGTGTCGTTTCCAGTTTTTACTGCTGTGTGCATGGTGACATTTCTTTCGCAATTGCTGTGTTACTGATTTCTAATTTTATTTCGTTGTCATTTGGGGGTGAACAAATTTTTCCTTGGGTCTGTTTCATTTATTGTAACCCCTGGCTTTTCTCTACTTCATTACCTACACCCTCCTAGGACGTAGGGAATGGTTCATCTGTTTGGTAAATTAGGGAAGATTCAACTGACAAGGTGCATAATTATACCTAATTCTTGGGTTAAGTCATCTAGCCCATTTGGCTTTTATTCTAAGCCTTCTTCACTAACATTCCAAGCTTTTGTCTCCAACTTTTCAGTAAAAAAAAGTAGTATTTTGGCTCCCATTTGCTATTAATTGTGATACTCTTTAATTGTTTCCAAAGACAAGCAGGAAGGAGAGGACCTATGTTCTACACTAGATATAAAGTCTTTTGTTTTCACTTAGACTGCCTCTGTGTTCCCAAAGTATGACATTTTAATGCTCTGTTGTTTTTGAAAATGTCATGTACTGTTTATATTGGGTGCATGGCTCTATATGTGTGTATACATTCACATATAGACACATAAACATGTATGTTCATGTGTTATGTCATATTAGTTCTTACCAATACTTTATCAATTTATAAGAATATAATAAAAATCTCTCATTTTGATGCGGATTTGTAGTTTTTCTTTGTTTCCTTTAACTTAAATAAAGGATATTGTTAGAGTCATACATGATCAGGATTGTCTGAGTGTCCAAATAATGTGCTCTTAATTATCTGGGCCTTCTGTAGCTAATAAAACTGTGAACCATTTTTTACATTTTTTATCTAATTTTTGAAGGGTGAGAGATTTTTCTTCCTGTAACTTTTTAGAACTCAGAATCCTACTCTTAATTCTCAGTCTTAAGAGATCTTAGCAAATTTACTTATTGAACAGAAAATTCTATATCTTACGCTTTTGTCTCTTAAAACTAAATTGAAAAGATTTCATGAATTGCAGCACTCACCATCACATGATTTTGTTTCTAACATTTGCTCTGGGCATAGATGTTGATTTTCCAGTTCTTGTATGATCACAGCTCTGGAACGGACCTGTATTCCACCAAAGCCTAGGTCCTCACCATTCACGCAGGTTATCTGACACAGGCTCCACGAAGACCAGTCCTTCAGATAACAGTCACCTGTAAAACACCGGTTGGTAGTTCATACACATACCCATAAATAGCAGCCGTCCAGCTAGTAATTATATTTCTTCACCTCACTGGGAAATGTTTTTTGGTATGCTAGTCATACATGATATTTATAGGATTTAGATAAGTATTTAATTTTGGCAAGTTTATATGTGGTTTACAAGTGTATATTAATGTTAGTTTTGGAGTGGATGTTGATGAATAGAAACTACAGCTTCCAGGATCTTGTGTCTTATGATTCACCTCCTCTTAAGAGACAACAAACAGTTGATTAAAACCTACCACCACTCCAGGGACGCCTGCGTGGCTCAGTCGGTTAAGGATCTGACTCTAGATTTTGGTTCAGGTCATGATCTCAGGGTGGTTGGTGAGTTTGAGTCCCGGGTCAAGCCCTGCACTGTTAGTGAGAAGCCTGCTTGGGATTCTCCCTCTCTCTCTCTGCCCTTCTCCCTCTTTCTCTTTTGTGCATGTGCTCTCCCTCTCAAAATAAACTTTATATATTAAAAAACAAAACAAAAAAAAAACCTACCACCATTCTTGACATTATGGTGAAGAGGTTTATAAAGCACTTGGTAGTACCAATGAAAATCTAAATATACATGAAATTTGTCTTGTAGATATGCATAATTTCAAAAACACTTGAACTCCAAGGCTGAGAAAACTGGCATTTATACTTTAGTTTTTCCTATTTCTTGCCAGAGGTGTGAGGTGAGACGTCAATTGAGCAGCAGCTGCAGTAGTAGTAATAATCCTTGTGACTTTATCTGACCTACATCTTCAATCGAATTATTTTTTCAATTATTTATTGAAGAAGAATATGCATGAAAAATGATCACATATTATAAATGTTCAAATTTTCACAGTCTGATTTTATAACTTTGCGGCCAATGCCCAAATCAAGCAACAGGACATTCTCAGAATTTCAGAAACGTTTCTTGTGTGACATATGGAATCGTACCATCTGTATGTGTAAAAAATACTTCACTCATTTATGTTTGCAGGATCCACATGTATTTATGTAGTTTCACTGTGATCGTTAGTGCTGTATTTTACTCCATTATATGACTGTATCATAAGTTAGATACCATTCTTTTGATGGGCAGGTGGAGAGTTATACATTATTTCTATAATGAATACTGCTATTGTGAACATCTTAGTGTGAGTCTTTGAACTTATATATGCATTTCTACTGGGTGTATACTTAGGAGTGGAATTGCTGGGCCCTGGTGTATCCTGCGTTCAACATCTTCAACCATTTGGAGAACAAGGAGGATTTGATGAAATATACCTTTCCTGTATACCCATCCATTCTTCAGGACTGACTGGTGATACTGTACACAGGCTATAGTAAATTATGATAGACACGAATCCACAGGGATTCTTATCATTTTAATTATTCCAGCCATACCATATGCATAATTCATATTGCCTTATATTATGCTGAAGATGCCTAATATTAGCACAAATTTGCCTGGAGATCTGATTAATGAAAACATGTCTTGTGTTATAATTAAGAAATCTTGGCCAGACGTGAATAACTGGCTAATAGGTATATGTATAACAGTAAAGTGGAGTGATTTTTGTAGACCTTTATTATAGTATGTCATTAATAGTCAATGTCATCCTGAAGTGCAGAAAATTCTACTAAATTTTAGAAGTGTTAAGGAAAAAGAAACTACAAAGCATGTTTAAATACTTTGGGGTTACTCAGTTTTTAAATACATAGGAAAAACTATTGAAATTTTAAATAGTCCTCTCAAGATAAAGGTACTGTAACTACACCCCAGTGATTGCAAACTACATGGAAATAAAACATATCTTTTTTTTTTTTTTTTTTTACTGGTAGGCTTTATCTCTGTGATTATATCACTTGACATAGTGTATTTTACAACAAAACTCAATAAATCTTTTAATATTTGTCTGTGAATTATATAATTGTCACCCCGAAAGAATCCATGTCAGGCTTTAAAGGCTGAATAACAGCAAATGACAGTGAGACATTGGGCTTGTACTAAACATACTTTTATGTTTTGACCATATAAACCATTATAATAATAAACCACACTATGCCTGCAAAAGATAGGACAAGTATATAAAATGCACTTCCTCCTTCAGTATTTTACTTACTTTAAAGCTTATTAGCTCATATGTTGCTAGTTTTCAAAACCCATTATTGGAGAAAACTGGCAACTGGGATGAAGAGATGGTAACTTAGAAGAGCAGCCTCCTTATGGGTTTGTAATTAATTTAATTAGAATAGTGTGTTTGTTCTGTTTTATGTTATTGTGGGATCTTGTTTTCCTTTGGGTAACTTAGGACAAATTTCAATCTTGTGTTTATTTATGTTACTATTAGATTAGCACCAGTCTCTTCCATTAGAAGGTAAACTCAATGAGGACAGGGTATATATGTCTCTCAATGTATTGAGCCCTGTGCCTAGCCCCCAGTAACACCTGATAATAATAATAAAATGAGTGGGTGATTGTGCTGTAGGAAGTATAAGAAAACAAGTAGACAAACTCCACAGGAAAGCAGACACGAATTCCTGGCAAGGCTGCTAGTGCTGCTCCGTGTTGTGGTTATCATGATAATCCTATTATGGTGCTGGAGATTTGGCTCTGGAATAGATAGGCCTTCCAACTTTTAGTTCTGGTGCCTTTTGACTATGTGGCCATTTAGCACATCAAAGCCCAAAGGTTCAGTCCTTGGCTCTGCCCAGAGCCCTTACCTGCTGCCACAGCCTCAACCTTGGTCAGCTGTGAAGCAAAATGATTTTACTGAATTGTATGTGAGAATGTGGATTGCAATCAGGCCAGTTTTTTGTGGGGTGGGGGGAGGGCAGGAAACGGAGTAGGGGAATTGCTGGGTCAGGAATAGTTTATTATTAGCAGGTGCAGGAATGTCTAAGAAGCAACACTTAATCGAGGTCTTGAACGTAAGATTTTTAAAAAGATCTTTCTTCATTTGAAGCAGATGAAACTATAAGTACGTACAAAGGCTGTTGTTACGGTTGTGAGGAATGCCCTCAAAATCTAGCATATAGTTCAAAATATCAGGGATTATTTTACTTTACTGCTCTGTTTTAATTTTATTCAGTTCATCTTAATAAACTATAGAAAGTGCCAATATTATCATCTCAAATAATTTACTTAAGAATGAATAAACTGATGAGAGAATGAGCAACCCATATAGTAAGCTTTTTACAGCATTTAGAGACCTCAATCCATTAAAATAAACTTTTGAAAATATGTCCTCCATCTTTAAAATTTCCTTAAACCATAACTTTTTTATTTAGGTAGTCTATTTTTGTCTCCAGTCAAAATTTGTTTGCCAAATCCTTATTTTTATTTTTTGGGGATCTTATTCAAAATAACACATTCCTTAAAGAGATCAATTTTTTTCTTCTCATAATTATAAGCAAAGTGGAGAATAAAAACTTTCCACTGAGGGTGAAATACAGGCCATTTACTTCCAGTCTTATTTCTCTCTCGTCTACTAATAAATTGTTGCCCCCATCTTTCTCAAAGCCTTAGGCTCATGCTTGATGTTGAGCTTATTTTGATCTTCTGTCTACCCTACAGTTCTCTGCACCAAGCCCAACTTCCTGAATATTAGCTTATCTTGTCTTCCAATTATTTCTAAACTATTTGATATACTATTTGATATTTGATATATTCCAATATTAGCTTATCTTGTCTTCCAATTATTTCTAAACTATTTGATATACGATATTTGCTTTCCACATTTTACTGCATGAACCCATGTGTCCAACTCTGAATTGTGGTAATTTCTTTCAATATTTTCTTCCATAATATTTTTTTCTCACTCTCGAATGATTTTGCTGGGGAAAGGATTTTAGGCTCATGACTATTTTCCATCACACTGTGCATATATTCCATTGTCTTCGGACTTTCATTGTAACTAAGAAGAATTTTTTATGATTCTAACTGATTGCCTTCCAGTTGTAAGTACTCTTTTTTTTTCTTTCTGCATGCTTTACTAGTTCTCTAGTTTTCTACATTTTGTGTTTTAACTACAGTGTATCTAGGTGTGATTTTGTTTTTGATTCTTTTCAGGACTCAAAGTAAGTTTTCATTAATTATAGGACTTAAATCTTTTGTTAGCCATTTGTGTTAAAACCCTGCTTCTCTCTCTCCTGGAAATCCTAAATAGATACAAATTCCCTTTCATACGTTCCCTGTCAAGCAGGAGCCTAAGGCCTTAACTGCCCTCCTCTGCGGGTGTTAGAACCCCAGGGTGACAGCAGAGGCCACACGGGAGACCTGGACTTCACCCTGAGTTGGCAGTAACAAGGCAGTAACCCCTGCATCCACGCTACGTATCCAGTTGTTGACACAGATACTACTGAATGAGAAGACTTGCTGACATGCCTTAACTTAGACTAGCAAGTGCAACCTCTTCTCTATCCTAGGTCTAGTAAGAAATGACCAAACTATGAATAACATTTTGTTATTGTTACCTGGGCAAGGCTGGGTGCAGGTCTCCTCGAGAACCATTTTTTTATTACCCTCTATAACGGGTTCAATGTCAGTACAGAATTCTTCATCCACCACTTTGCCGAAATCATCACCTGACCCATCACTCACTACACAAGAAATGTTCCTCGTTCTGGTCCCTTCACCACACTGGGCATCCTAGAACGCAGGAAGAAATAACTAATTAGGAAAAGAAAAATAATTCATTAGCAAGCTCATCACTTACAGTCATCTTCTGCACCATTGATCTTGATTTATGAGCAGTTAAAGAAGCATTTGAAACCCTAGAGAAGAAGTCCTGTAGGAAACTAGCCATAAAGTATACAATGAACAATTTATTTTTTTTTTTGTAGCCGAAGACAGGCAAATAAATTTTCATTAAAATGAATCTGTCTCCAAATGATTTTAAACACACAGGACAGGGACTGCTGGTTATCAAAACTAATTAAACAGTTAGGAAATAGCAAGGCACCTAAAATCTTTAAGAGGAAACATGTCATCTGTAAGTTCTGAAAAATATTTCTGAAACTAAATCTCTGCAGATAAAGAACACACCTCTCTCTCTGTCTCTCTCTGTCTCTCACTCTGTCTCTGTCTCTCTGTCTCTCTGTCTCTCTGTCTCTCTCTCTCTCTCTCTATATATATATATATTTTTTTTTTTAAAGAGAGAGTGAATGTGAAGAGGGGCAAAGCGAGAGAGAGAGAGAATCCTAAGCAGGTTCTGCACTCAGAGGGAAGTCAGACACAGGGCTCTTCTGTATGACCCTGGGATCATGACCTGAGCTGAAATCAAGAGTCGGATGCTCAAATGACTGAGCCACCAAGGTGGCCCCCCCACACCTTTTTTAAGTAGGCTCCATGCTCCATGGAGCCCAATGAGGGGCTTGAACTCATGACCCTGAGATCAAGACCTGATCTGAGATCAAGAGACAGATGCTTAATTGCCTGAGCCATCCAGGCGCCCCTCTATACAACTTCTTGAGATTTGATTACCTGTACTTGGCATAGAGACCACTGGCCATATTGCCATTGATAACAGGGCTTCACTGGGCAAGGCTTAGACTGTTCCATCAGGGCAGGGCATGGTCGTCCATCACCCTGAAAGGGCTGAGTCACTGTTCGTCTTCGGATCATTTTTCCTTTAAGAGATACAAAGTGATGCAAAGTGATATATTTGTGTAAGCATCTATCTTGAAAGAAGGCATCACAGACATTTCTCCTGAGGAGATCCAAGGGACAAGTCTCAGATATTTTGAAAGGAAAGACACTGATTCAACCTTTATGAAAATTATCTGGTAAGCATTAAAGCAAGAGTGATATTTCATATTCCTTGACTATTAATCTAATGCTAATGAAGGTACAAACAAACCTGTGAGGCCACATGTTTGAGAGCATTCTGACCAAGGAGACCAGTCAGAAAGCTGACAGTTGATAGGACATTCCACCATGCAGGATGTGTTCATCTGCCAGTTCTTCTCCAGGCCAAGCTGAAAGGAAAGAGGTAGATCTGTTTTACTGACCTGGAAGGATGGCATGATGTGTCTTATTATTAGAGGGAGGATGGGAGGAAGAAAAAAAAATAGTAGTGGGGAGGAGAGGAGAGGAAGAATAAGCAAGATGCATAATAAAACAAAATGGTATCTGGAGGACAAACACCCAAACTTAAAACTATAAAGTTGTTCAACCCACGAGAGTGGGAACAAAGGGCACAGGATGAACAGAGGAGTCCATTTACTCCATATGCATTGCTGAACTTTCAAATTAAAAAAAAAAAGTTTTTAAATTTTAGCTAATGCTATCATATTTTTAAGTTAGTTATGTTTTTTAATTTTTTTAAATGTTTATTTATATTTTGAGAGAGAGACAGACAGACAGAGGGCAAGAGGGGGAGTGGCAGAGAGAGAGGGAGACACAGAATCCAAAGCAGACTCCAGGCTCTGAGCTGTCAGCACAGAGCCTGATGTGGGGCTAGATCTCATGGATCATGAGATCATAACCTGAGCTGAAGTCAGAGGCTTAACTGACTGAGCCACCCAGGCACCCCTTAAGTTTACTTATTTTGAGAGAGAGAGCATATATAATTGGGGGAGAGGCAGAGAGAGAGGGAGAGAGGGAGAGAGAGAGAGAGAGGGAGGGAGGGAGGGAGGGAGGGAGGGAGGGAGAGAGAGAGAGAGAGAGAGAGAGAATCCCAAGCAGGCTCCATGCTGTCAGTGTGGAGCCCTCCGTGGGGCTCTAGCTCACAGACTGTGAGATCATAACCTGAGTTGAAACCAAGTCAGACTGTTAACTGAGCTACGCTTGACCTCCTAAATTCAAAAAATATTTTTTTTTTTGAGATAGACAGCTAGTTGGGGAGGGGCTGAGGTAGAAGGAGAGAGAGAATCTTGAGCAGCCTCCATGCCCAGCACAGAGCCCAGTGCAGGGCTTGATCTTGAGCCACTCAGGCATTCCCGTTGTTGAAGTTTTTAAATAAGGAATGAAAAAAAAGTAGATTTAGTCTCCAAATTGGTTTACTTTCCCTAAAGGAGTAACGAGATAGGTGTAAGCATGATTGCTTCCCATTAGTTAAAAACCAAGAATATCACCAATATCTAGATTTATAATTGTATCTTTGGGATATTATTTCTTTTTATGTGTCATGTTAAAACTGAAAAACAAAAGGTTTAAAAGACAAATTATCACTCAAAAACTAATAATATAACATTGAAATAATATTCAATAATAGTTAAGTATGTGATCTCTCTCAAAAGGAAATATGGGTTGCCAGAATTTTTTGATTACAAATATTTTATACGCATTTATTTTTTACAAAGATTTTCTTTTCTAAAACTGATCTCAGCAGCTAAGTGAGGTATAATTTACTTATTTTGGTTAGCCTCTCATTAGATTCTGATACTGTGACATTTTATTAGCATTGAGTTCCTTCCTTGTTTAAGCATCCTGCTTTTAAAATATGAGATTTCAAACTCATCTACTTTTTATATGCAAACAGTTAAAAAGCCCAAGGTACAAAGTAGCATGAAAATAGAAGTGCTTAAGAGCTTGTTAGGAGACTACAGGTTTTGTTTTGTTTTTAATCCTTGGGATTTTTAAAGTGGTTTTTAAAATTTTTGCATGAAAGAGAAGTTTATAGTGTCTATGGTATATAGTAAAAGATGGCCAAAGAAATGTTATATTGTGGTTCAAGTATAGCTCTCAGCTCTAAGTTGTCCACTGAGAGAGGATCAGATCAGTGACTGTATGGTACACATCTCTCCAGGCATTCCTATTACATTCTTCACCAGTAATACTTGACAAAGCTGAGGATTTGGTATGAACATTTTTACCATATCACTTAATTAAGGTCTCAAAAAGTCACTTAAATCATGGGAGGTTGGAGAAAGGAGACTTAAGGCAATTATATGCTAATAAGGATGTGTAACATTTAAGGCAGATAATAGTTTCATGGAGAGAGGGTTTGAATCACAGAATTCAGCTACTATGACTTATTTCACTGCAGAGTTGAAAAGGATGTCTGTTTATAGATCTTTCTGGTATCCAGTGGTAAGACATTTTAACAGTCTACTATGGTTTTTTCTTACATTTATTGTTCCTCTTTTTTTCTTCTTCTCTTACTCTCTCATCTATCTAAACATATGTATCTAACTAAATGAAAAGAAACCTGTTCAGGGATCAAAGAAGAGGAAAGGAGAAAGCAATTACTAGCATTGGATGAATAAATGTCTGAAAAACATCAAAGAAAAAAATGCTATATAAATGCTAGATAGGTTTAACCCTAATTGTCCCCTTTGCTGTGGGGGAATGGCATTATTTCTTTCTGGTTCTTAGGGAAACAGCAAGAGTTAGCTACTGCTGTTGTTCTGAATGCAGGGTTTGCACATGAATTAGTAGGTAGGCAATCAATCCATTATTTAAAAAGATAGCCAGCTTTTCTCAGGGATATTAGTTAATACTACCGCATCCACGGGGATGCATAAACAGGATAGGAGTTGTTTATTCCAATTCCTGTTGAGAGTAGCACTGTACTTCCTAAAGACAGTGATTACTACAATGTTATGATTTGAATCCCTAATTGTTACCACAGTATTCAAAAAATGTAACATTAATGCATAAAAGTAAATTTATCTAGGCTCCTGGATAATTAAAATAACAGTTATTTCTCAAGGTTTTACTCACATTTCATTTAAGAAATAAAGGACTCTATTTATACCTCTGTCCTGTAGTCACTTATTTTTTAATTGGTTTTGTATGATTTGGAGTTAGCTTTCACAAAGCTCTCAGCTATTTAATGTATATTTCATTCTGATCCAGGAGGACATTTACATGTACGTTTGCAAAAAAGGAGATATATTAATCAACTGGAAGTAGATGAAAGCTCTCCAGCCAGCATATGACTATAGTAATGTTCATTAATACTAATGTTATTTTTTATAATGGTTACATTACTTTGATGTTACTAGTTTCAAAACCAAATTAATTCAGGTATAAAATTTATAACTAAAGTATGAATACACTAAATTATGTAATAAGATGGTAGTGGAAGGAATTTACTAACTAAACAACTTGTTTTCAGAATATTTAGCAACTCCATTCCCATGGACAGATATAAGGAAGTTGTTAGGTCTACATGATAAAGATATCAAATGGATTGATATTATCTCCATCTGGAGTTTTCTCTTAGTAGCTGGAATAATTTACCATGGGCTTATATAGCCCCCAAGATGTGTAGGTAGAAGTCATGGTCACCATGTCTGCTGAACCCTAATGAGGTCATAAGCTCCTCTCTATGTGTTCAAGATCTATTGAGGCTCCTGTTTATCTTGGTTCATGTTTAACGCAGTGGGGTTTAGATGCAGGAGGAGTTAAAACCTGTCAGGAATGTGGGGACCCTTTTGGTATGGAAGTCGGACAAAATAATTACAACATGAAGTGTAGCTTCAGGAAGAGAAAGGCCAACAACTATGTTTCCTCACATTTCATATGGTCATACCTAGAAATGAGGACATTACTTTTATAAATTGGAAAATTAACAGTTACAATTCTCTGCACCTCAAAGATATAATGGCAGACTTCATTCCTTTGTTTGAATTTCAAGCTCTCTCTTACCCAGACCTGAGTACTTAGACTCTCACAGCTGGATATTAGATCCTAATATCAAAATCTGCTACCAAACCACATGCGATCAATGTTTAGCAACAGAGAGAATAAATGATGGCTCTTGGCAGGTGTCCCAGGCAACACAAAATTCACATGAAATTACAAAAGATGATGAGTAGTCTGATTAAGATTTATTGCCTTTATTCACCTTGATTACTTATTGTTCCCCAAGCATTTCTTTCCAAATAGGCTAATTAGCATACCTTTGGGCTCCAAGCAGAACAAAATACAGGAAATTATGTGTAGAAATCAGTAGTTGGACAGTGTTTCTTTTCAAGAGGGTGCTTAACAGCCTCTGAGTAGTATAGAAAACCATCTGCTGGCAATGAGCTGCACTGAGCACAGGTCACTTGGCTCAGCATGAATTGAAATTATTAGGGAAGAATTTACTCACAAAGATATAACACAGTATCCCCTCACCTCTTCACAATATTTCAGGTCAACCGACTTGCCATCACTTCGAACACAATCCAACATCCTTGTTTTAATGCCATTTCCACAAACTGCCTTCTCACTGAGCTGACACGTGCTCCAGTCTGAAAGGAAGGGAGCCCATCAGAACAGAAGGCTATGTATGAAACAGATTTCAAATGAAACTCTGATGACCTGAATCCCATATTTAATTCACAACTGCTTCCTAAGCCCCACAATCAATCATCCCACATGCAGAGCATATGGGTCCCGGCTTTGAACATATCAAGAGTCAAATGGAATTGCTGGGGTTGCACATAGCTATGGGGATTATTCTTGAAGGCAGATGTCTACCTGACAATCTTGACAGCTAGCCTTTTGGTGACAGTGTGAAACTGGCTTTGGCCTGCAGATCGAATGTCACTTAAAAACGTTTTTTTCCTAATAAAAGTAGAAATTTAAATTTTAACATTATTTCAAACAAAACACTATTTCACTTACTGTCCATACTTAGAATGTTTTAAAATATACACTTATTTATTTCAAAATCACTTTGGCCATATCTATTTAATTCTTTTATTTCATGTCTTTTGCAAAGTAATTCTTTCAATCTTTCTTTCCAGGGTAGCATAGCATGTCCCAGAGAACTGTGACTTCTTTGTATCATCAAAGGAAATGGAAGAGAAAAACCTAAGGAGACAAAAAGCCAATCTGACTGCTGTGTGTTAGTGCACAATGTTTAGAGTTTGTTTCAGTGGGAAAATTACTTGGGAAAAATTCCAAAATAAGCTTCAGTGTTGCCTTACATCATATAAATCAATGCATTCTCTTCTTTCTTAGAATTTGAGCCTTTATGGTATGAGAGGAGGGTTATGGGAAAAAATGAAGTCATAATAAGTCTTTTCTTCTGAAAAAAACATTCATCCTTTTTCATCTGTACTTTGATAATGCTGAAATGTTTGTCTCTTCTTCATACGGTTTTTTGGTAGCTTAAGATTGCTGACATTTTTACATCAGACTCATCATGCTTATAAACTGCCCCCACACCAAGAACTTTGTCCCAGTATGTTATAGGTATTAAACATCTTCTGAAGAAGAAAGACATCTTTCAATAAACCTGATCCTTATGGGAAAGATATGTATCTTTTATTTGCACCTTCCCAAAGTGAGAGGATGTCTTCAATAGGATCATTTAGGCTATTCACAATCTACCTTAAGGGCTCAATGTTTGTGTGATATTTTCATTCTCTATCCTGATGTTTACTGAGAAATAGATAAATATTTCTGTCATTAAATAAAGAATTATCTCTGGGAAAGTAAGAAGCATGTCCAAAAGGGACCCAGATGGAGAGGAACAATACTTACGGGAATACTGCTGAGATGAAAGGCACAGGATTTGGCCTTTAACTCTGTGATGAGATGACTACGCACATACCTGTTACATTATAATCATAGTGGAAGCAGTTTTTGTTTAGGTTACAAGGTTCCTTTTCAACGGCATTAGGGCAGGCTCTTCCTTCATCAGCAGGTTGTCTGATGGGATCAGCTGACCTTTGCCGGAAACTGCTTTGATTGCAAGGCTGACAAAGAATAATACAACTCCTCAGAATGGTGAATCCCCAGGCACACAAGAGCTAATATATGAGGGAGAGCACTGGAACAGGAGTTAGAATTTTTGGGCCATTCTCATTACACCTCAGTGTCGCCATCTATAAAATCAAGTGTTAGATGAGTTTCCGATGTCCCCTCTAGCTATAAGATGCTTAAGAGTCTGTGTGTCAAATACCAATCAATACATCCCATCACACATATGTAAACACACACATATGATCATATTAATTATTGTAGATCACTAATACAGAATTTGTAAACAATCTATCTAACATAGTTTCTTGGACCTGAAAAACCATTTTAAGGGTGATTTTAACATATTAGTTATTATAGATCATGAATACAGAAATCTATCTGTCATCTATCTATCTATCTATCTATCTATCTATCCGTCCATCCATCCATCCATCCATCCATCTAAGTTTCTTAGACCTGAAAGACCATTTTAAGGGTGGCTTTAAATAACTAGTTTTAGTGACCTTTCTTTTCCTAATGGGCACATATACATGCCCACAAACACAATTCAGCAGTTAAAAAAGACTAGCTTGCCATTCTGTTACTGGCACAGTCTTGTTCTGAAAACATCTGGTTTCTAAGAACAGGAACTTCAGATATGATGCTATGGAATTAGAACAGAAAATCATTTGCATACCCTTATTAAAGAGCTGATTCTTTGTCGCTATTTAACCTGTATCCAAGTCCACCGGCAGCCCTGTTTTGCCCCTGCTCTATTAGTTGGCTGTTAATCAGCACCTTTAATAATGTTAACCCTGAGATAGAAAATTAATCTCACTTTGAAAACACGCATCGTAAATTCTTTAAAACTGTCTTATGTTGTATTTCAGCAAATTAATTCCACATTAGATGTATTCTTCCCGTGTTTTTGATGCCATTTTGAAACGTACAGCTTTGCAGAGGTGCCTGCGCTAAGCCACATTTCCTACATGCTCAGCCAGTTCTGTTTCAAATGACTCTTCCCAGGGTCCTGTGGAAGAGCCCCTACGGGCTGTTGAAATCTAGAAGCTTTGTGTGATTTGAAAGTCTCAGCTGGCTTTCCAGGCCCACAGAGACATGGAGTCAGTGTGTGGAAAGAGATTCACTGACACACAGCTTCCTTCTTTCGATTCCCTTTCTTGCCAGGATCTTCTGCGTTTCAGTGTCAATACCCTGCTGCAGTATCCCCACTGTGTGAAAGATTATTCCAACAATTTAAATAAAATGGATTGGGCAAAAAGCAAGGGATGACAATAACCTGACACCATTAAAGTACCTTTACTAGAGCTTCATTCTTTTTCCCTTTACCTGGAAGGAATCATTATCACCATGGCAGTTTTTAACATGCTGTGTAGTTATAAACTAATCTGAAGGTATTTTGTGCGGGTCTAGGAGGATGGCAGAAGGCATAAAGGTTGCAAGAAGTTGAGCTGTTCTAGTGTGAGACAAAACACTGCTGACTTTAAATGGCATAATCATAGAATGAAGTAGCCAAGAAAACACCCTTGCTTTCATAAGCAATTTGGTTTAGTAATTATTATTTTCTTAGTAATAGCTCTGAAGCTTTCATGGTAAAAAACTGGGTAAACTCTATATTGATAAATGGTTCATCATCTTACCAAAGTGCATCGGGTCCAAGGACCCCATTCAGATATCACACAATCCTCAGGACACGGTAATTTGCACTCTCTGGAGCCCAGGGGCATCTCTTCTGGATCACAGAGGTAATCTTCTACATGGTCAGAAGGGCCATCCGCTGTATTCTGCATGCATCTACAAGAAAACATATACCTATTCAGTGAAAGAACCAGGACAATTAGAACAATGGCCAACCCATAGGACAGATGGTTCTTCCTAAGACATCATTTAGGTGTTGGAAGGTGGGAAAGTTTGCATTTTATAAATTGAATTCTCCAAACATGAAGACATGAAAGGATCTCTGCCTCCCATAAATACGTGCAGAGCTTCAGTATGATATAAAATCCACACTTGACTGTGTCATCATAATCTTTTATAATTATAGCCACTGTGTGTATTATAAACTCGGTATACAGTCTTCCTCTGAGAGGAGAGGGCCTTTTACACTCATATATGATGTAGCACCTAATGGGGAATGGTCCACAGAGATTCACAGAGGGGTTGTAATTTTGGAATATAATGCACTTTTTTCTTCAGAAGAAAATGGTATAGTCCATAGAGAAGGTAGATTTTTATATGATGAAAGATGAGGCATCCTGAACTTTCCTAGTGAGAGGTTTCATTAGGTATTTTCAAAAATAACTGATGGCACTTATCAAGTTGTTTTGTAATTTTAGCCTCCTATATGCTGATAACTTTAAAAGAAAGCCAGAAGTGAAAACAATTATAGTAGTAATAATAATAGCACACACTCTGTAAATGTGGTTGTTTCAGGGCGCCTGGGTGGCTCAGTCGGTTAAGCGTCCGACTTCAGCCAGGTCACGATCTCGCGGTCCGGGAGTTCGAGCCCCGCGTCAGGCTCTGGGCTGATGGCTCAGAGCCTGGAGCCTGTTTCCGATTCTGTGTCTCCCTCTCTCTCTGCCCCTCCCCCGTTCATGCTCTGTCTCTCTCTGTCCCAAAAATAAATAAACGTTGAAAAAAAAAAATTAAAAAAAAAAATAAAAATAAATGTGGTTGTTTCAATCTTCCTGTATCTTCACCTTTTTTAGGGTTAGTTTTCTTTTTAACAGAACCAATTCAAACATTTTATTATGTTTCACTGTTTTGTAAACAGTCGTGGTAGTCTTGTTTACTCATCTCTTGAGGAGCTAATTAACGTGGCTAGTATCAGACTTGACTTTTACAGACGTTAATAATCTCCCCAAGCACTGTTCTAGTAGACGAGAAAAACTTGATCCCTCATCTATAACTCAGAGAGGGTCAGTCAGCTTAATAGGTTGGGGAAGAGAATGCATTGCTGGAACTAAAAAGGCAGGCTTGAGTTCTTCAGCCTCTCAAACCCATTGCAGTGTTTTACACTGTTGGTTAAATTACGTTATCAATTATACCTGGAATTTCACCTTACCCAGGGATTTACAATCAGTGGGGACATGGCATTTTCACAAACCTACTCTGCAGAAACGCCTTTCTATCCAGTACTGCCCAATTTAAGAGAAATGTCGTTTTCCTGTGGGATGCATTTAATGGCTGGAAAACGGCTATTGGTCATGTCTTAGTTGGATTTTTGGTCTGAAAATATGCCCATACAATACCACCTACGCATCTTTTTTTTTTTTTTTTTGGTATATCGGATAAAAATAGAAAACCACCACAAAAACATGCAAAGGTAGATATTTGATTTCATCACTGAAGAAGAAATTATACATTTCTTTGGGAGAATTTTAGTTTCCCAGGAAAAAGTTCTATCTTCAATGGCACTGAAAAATGTTCTGTTGACAGGAGCTTTGAGAGGACATGAAGCGGAGTTTAATGCTCGAAAGTTGGATTTGCTGCTAAGAAAAGATTGAATTCATGGTGGGCACTGACACAGCGAACAAGGATTAACTTGCAAAATTACCTATTGATCCAGAGTTAAGGACAGATGTTCAATACTCGATTAAGTACTTATATACATAAAACTACATTTTCACAGGCTTTTCTTCTTTAATTTTTTATTACATAGGTAATTTATTCAGTTTAGGAAAGTCAGAAGAAAAAAAATCACATGAGTCTATCACTCAGAGAAAAGCATTCTTAACAGACTCACAAAATAGGAACAAACTTGACTATTTTGTGCCATTTAAGAAAAAATTTAAAAATACATTATGGATGTAACTTTTAGTGACTATATTCAAATAGCCTCATTTCAAGGTGCCACAATTGCTAAAAAGACCTTTATTGTTGACATTCAGATTCTTTATGTTTTACTTACTTCATTTGGTATTAACCAGCTTTTAAAATCACTCTAGAGTACAGACTAAATATTTGGATCAAGTTTTAAGCACAACGGAAGGCACCTTGAGTGCATTTGCTTTATTCACATTCTTGGCCTTTCTCCTTTCCACAGGAGACGGAATTATGATGTGAGAAAACTGAACTGTATTAGAAATAACATCATGCAGAACCAAGCTGAAGGCAAAGGATGGAGCCAGAGGCCCACCACGGCTGTGACAATAAGGGGCTACATTGCAGAGAATTCAAAAGCAACCATGAAAGTAACCACATCTGTTGCTTTTTATTATTATTAATTTTAATTGCCACCATGTGCTGGCAATTCTAAATATAATGTCCACGAGCAAGTATCCCTTCTGACCATGGAAAATCACTTCGGCCACTTAGTGTATGCTATGCCATACCATCCTAAAAGAGAAAGAATGGGATTGGATAAATTGGAATATGCTGTCTCGCAGACTCATCTATCCTGAAATGTTGCCCAATGCTTGCATATAAGCAGTACATTTTGACCTTAATTATTAGCAGAGGATAAGGTTAGAGAGGTTTACTACTCAAGTCAGTAACAAAAAGAAACATTATGTGATCAGAGATCATAATCAATACTGACCTATTTTCTCTATTTACATTAAAGATGTTTACTAAAAACATAAATTGATCTCAAAAGTTACTTTGATTAAGAGGTATTTGGAAATGGTGAGAATATGTATTTATCAACCAAGAAAAAGCAACATGTACACAGATAGTTGAAGGGAAAGCTGAAAGAATAGTTTCTTTTTTTTAATTAAAAACATTTGTTTTTAGAGAGAAAGAGAGCATAAGTCAGGAGAGGGGCAGAGGGAGAGGGAGAATCTTAAGCAGGCTCCATGCTCAGCGCAGAGCCCAACACAGGGCTCCATCCCATGACCCTGGGATCATGACCTGAGCTGAAAGCAAGAGTCGGAGGCTCAACCGATTGAGTCACTGAGGTGTGCCACTTGTTCTTTATTACGCTTTTTCTTTTTTTTTTCAACGTTTATTTATTTTTGGGACAGAGAGAGACAGAGCATGAACGGGGGAGGGGCAGAGAGAGGGAGACACAGAATCAGAAACAGGCTCCAGGCTCTGAGCCATCAGCCCAGAGCCCGACGCGGGGCTCGAACTCACGGACCGCAAGATCGTGACCTGGCTGAAGTCGGACGCTTAACCGACTGCGCCACCCAGGCGCCCCTACGCTTTTTCTTACTAAAAGCACAACTTGATCAAAAAAACTTTTATAAGGAAAGTATTTTTAAATTTGAAGGAGAAATTTTAAATTTGGAAGGGAATGGTGGAAAATGGAATCTCTGTCTTTTCCTTACATTTCCCTCTCATATTACCTCACAGGCCCTCTTCCACCTTTATTAAGTTCCTGAGAAAAATACCTTGAGAGTTCAGAGGGCTTGGGAAAAACAGATAGAAATTATTATTCCTGGAAGCAAAGTTACACATAGTGTGCCAAAGTTTTATTATACGAATGCTAATTTGCTCTACTTTTCTGTTGAGAAATATCAATCTTATTCATGAAAAGTTAGATCATGGGTGACAGTGGCCTTCCTCATAACATAAGTAGTCAAGTTCTGGATGTTTTTACATTTGTCTATACTGTGTGTAACTCAGAAGGGTTGGAAGAAACTGGTATAAAAAGTGATAAAACAGGGCACCTAGGTGGCTCAGTTGGTTGAGCGTCCAACTTCAACTCGGGTCATCATCTCACGGTTTGTGGGTTCGAGCCCCGCATCGGGATCTGTGCTGACAGCTCAGAGCCTGGAGCTTGCTTCAGATTCCCTGTCTCCCTCTCGCTCTGCCCTTCCCCCTCTCACTCACTCTCTCTCGCTCTCAAAAATAAACATTAAAAAAATTCAGTATAGAAAAAAAGAGTGACAAGAGACTGTGGATTGAATGCCAATTCTGTCACTTTTCTAGATGTGTGTTTTAGGTAAATCACTTAGTAATTCTGAGTCTACTCTACAAAGTGGAGATAATAAAACCAAATACACTTGTTTGGTAGGGTTCTAGAACCCCTAAGAGGCATATGCAGATACTGTAGGGGCAGCTTAATGAGTATAAAACTTGTATTAAGCATTAGGGAATTTGTATGAATATGACAGGATCTCAGTTTGGAGAAAATGATGGAGTTTAATAAAAATGACAGACCAGTAAATGGATCCTTTCAAAACAAAGAGGGGTATACGGGGTACTATAGGGCAACACCGCTCAATAGAACTTTCTGTGATGATGGAAATACTCTATATCTCTGCAGTCTGACAGAACAGCTGTTAGCCACCTCTGGCTATTGAGCACTTGAAATGTGTCTAGTGTGGCTGAGGAAATGCACTCTTAATTTAATTGTAACTAGTTTAAATGTATTTTTTAAAGTTTATTTATTTATTTTGAGAGAGACAGAGAGGGAGACAGGGAACGGGAAGGATAGAGAGGAGAGGAATCCCAAGCAGGCTCAGTACTGTCAGTGCAGAGCTCAATGTGGGGCTCAAACTCACAAACTGTGAGATCATGACCTGAGGCGAAACCAAGAGTCTGTCGCTTAATTGACTGATCCACCCAGGTGCCCCTTAATCAGTTTAAATTTAAAGTGAAATAGGGGTACCTGGGTGGTTCAGTCAGTTGAGCGTCTGACTTCAGCCCAGGTCATGATCTCAAGCCCTGTGTGGGGCTCTGTGCTGATGGCTCAGAGCCTGGAGCCTGCTTCAGATTCTGTGTCTCCCTCTCTCTCTGTCCCTCCCTTACTCTGTCTCCCAAAAATAAATAAACATTAAAAAAATTTAAAGTTAAATAGCCACATATGGCTAGTGGCTACCCTACTGGGCAGTGCGGCCAGAGAAGGCTTCCTGGAGGAGAAGAGAATATTCAAAACTTAGCCAGTTTTATGTAAAGGAGCAAGGATTTATAATAGATTATCGTTAAAAAGCAGTAAGAAGTGTTTTTGGCCTTCAAGAAAAAAGTATTGGGGTTGAGAAAATCTGCATGAGTTCAGCTTGTATTCAATGTGAACCTTTCTTTTCACAGGAGCACCTTGAAGTGAGGCTCCTGATGTCAGAAGACCCAGTGTGACAAACTGTTGCTTGAAGCAGATCCCCTTAGAGTTTTCCATGCACTCAGATTCCCTAGAAATAAAACTAAAGACAGTTTTAGTCAGGAGACTGGGGAGGAGTGAGAGTGGCACACGTGAGATCGGTAGGAGATTGCACGTTCCTTGTCCACGTAACCAGGCTTGGCCTTACCTCACTTTTCGGGTTTGCACACCCTCTCCACAGTTATCTCGCATGTTGACAAAGGTCACTTTGCAGATGCTCCATGGCTCTGTGACCCATACGTACTGGTTGCACTGACTGTGGCAAGGAACGACCTCATACACCTGAAACACACACAATGAATTCTCAGGGATTTCTCCTCAGGGAACCTGATGAGGATATGTGGGGACACTTCACATCACAACAATCATTACATTCTTTTCACTCCTCTCCTTTCTTGTTCATCATTCTAAACTAGGAATATAGGAAATCTGAGAGTTAGAGTAGTGATGGGCAGGGCTAGCGGTGCTGTGTTCTCTTGATCCGGTTTGACATCACAGGTGCAGATTTGATCAGGTGGAGCACATGAGACCCATTACACACTGTCCCATACTGACCCACACCACACAGCACTGTGATTTCATGGGCCATCTGTCTTGTTCACAGGCCTGTGTGTCTCCAATGCTTAGGCCAGAGTGCTCAGATGTTAGGCATTCCACAGAGGTTTGCTGAATAGATGAATGAATGAATAGATGAATTAATAAAGTAAATAAGCATATAAAACTAGTTGTTTTTTTTTAATATGACTTGGCCTGTTTTTCAAATAAATGTATGTAATAATAAGAATTTATACTCTTTTTTTGCATTCCATATGTGAAACTGAGTTAAACGGTAAAAAATAAGGAAATACGCCTCTTTAAAACTAACCCTCAATCATTCAGGGCTTGGAAGCAAGGTCTGAAATTGGTCTCGTATTATACAGCTACAGCCCAAAGCAGGGAGAGCCACATAACACAAAGCAAACTTGTCTGTCCTCCGGTGTCCATGAAGGCTGAAAGCCCCACATTTAGGGTGGGGTGTTGGTCTCAGGATTTTAGAACAATGGACCAATTTTGCTCTTTTCTCAAGGAGAACAATGACTAAATCAAGGAAATAAATAAACCATAATCTACTGCAACACAGCTGACTCAACTGTTAAAGAAAAATGTCTTTTAAAATGATTTCAAAATCTATGGTCATTCAACTCTATTTCCTATTTCACAACACACACACACACACACACACACACACACACACGTACATGTTTGTTTTTTTGTAACTACTTAATTCCAGAAAAATCCAGAAAATATAGATATAAATAGCCCCTTGGAGCTATTCTTTTGTGCAAATTTCAGTGAGTGAGTAAAGGAGACCCATTCCAAGTGAGAATAAATCATATGCGCTGTTGGCATAAGAATCCACAATTACTGTTATAAATGATCACCTTCACATTGGGTACTGTATTTAAATGGGACTAAATACTACCAGGTAAAACATTACCCTACAACTTGTGGGGAAGGAAAACACTGAAAGAGAAATGCCATTTTTCCTAATCTTTCAATGGTTTTCATTTTAATCTCCTACACTGGACTGAATACAAATCAGTTCAGAGCAACTTCCTGCCGCCCATCCTCAGCCTACCTGCACCTTTACCCCTCCCTCCAAGAAGCATGACATCGTTAACAAGAGGTGTCCTTGCCTTTTCAAGGCTGGTGAAGTGAAACTTGTTCCCCCCACTCCTGTATCTCAGGCCCTGATATTAAAATGAGAAAACACAGGTAGCAAGCTAGAAGGACAGAGAGAGAGAGAGAGAGAGAAACAGATGCAAAACAAAAATTGTATGGAAAATGTGCTATTTTCTCCCTGTAAAAACAAAAGACAACAGCAGAAAAAGAAATCCATTCTCTGAAGTCAGGAGTGAAAAAGAAAACAAGCAGCACTCTACCACGAATCAGGAGGTTTAAAAATTCTTACCTGTGCCTGGAGTAGTGTTCAACAGGAATGAGGAAAAGAAAGAAAAAAAAATAAGGAAAAAATGTCAGTATATTGAGCAAAAAAATTCATGTTCTAAGTTTTAAATATTATGTTATCCACACATAAAAGTCTACTTTTCTTTTTTGGTAAATGATTAGAATATTTTTATTAAGCCCTAAAAGAGAAAAAGCAACTCCTAATTATTGTTGAAAGTGAAGATACACAAATGAGTATTGCAAACAGCACAGTCAAGGTAAAGATTAGATGAACAGGATGAAGAAATCTTAAGAAACTGACTAGACCTAAAAATACATATCATGCGGGATTGATAAATGACTGCAAATATTTTGTGATCCAAATTGGGAATGAAATCTATCCATAGATTGATTGATTAATCTATTGATTTTAATCAATCCATCTACATTTAATCAATCCATCTACAAGGAAATGAGAATTTGCTTCCTCAATTAGAAAGTGGAAAATCAAAGACCATTTTCAAGTCAATGGACCACTGATTATTTTATTGAGGAATGTAGAATTATAGCAAAAAATCCATGTGACTTATAATTTTCAAAATTAACACAAACCTTGGCATATTCTTTACTAACATGTTGCTGATAAATCCTAGAAAATTCCATTTTTTTAAATGTAGGACATTTATACTCAAATAGTCAGCAATCTAGTATTTCCCATTTTAGCTGGAATTTTTCAGTTGTTAATGTTGTAATTTACACCAGTAAGCTGATTAACAAGTATGCAAATGTCACCATCAAAATTAAATTTTATCAGAGTTGGAGAGTGACAGAGACATGATTTAGGTAAAAGAATTTTCATAGCGAAGACAACTTGGCAGAAGGTCTTGAACCTTTAAAAATTTACTAGTAAAAAGATGCTAAGGCAAGCATGGCTTATTTTATTGAAGGGCTGACTGGCTGCACACACACACACACACACACACACACACACACACACACACACTTTGAACCTATGTGCATATGTCAAATTTCTCTTTATTAGAATCATGGATCAAAAGTTATTAAAATTTAAATTTACCATTGAAAATTTAAGATTTCAAAACTTGTAAAAAATATTCTTTTGCATTATAAACCTTACATTTCAGTTATTCTGTTTCATTAGGGTCAGGTAACTGAATTTTCTTCTTTGCAAATATTCACTCTGGCAGGGAAACTCAATTACCAGTAGATGGCAGCAGTGCAGTGTATTATTTGCCTTTGGATGCCTTTAAGGGAACGTGCAGCAAATTCACCCAAGGGAAAAACCAACATTTTTTTCAGAGCAGTACTTCCTGTAGCATGTAATTCTCCATTTTGTTCATCTTTAATTTCTTTATTCAAAATTTATTTTCTCTAGGGTGTACATTTATTTTTACTTCATCATTATTATTTTTGAAGATCTAATTGGCTTTATTATCTGATTCATGAATTGGGCAGCATTCCATTTAGCAAGTTGAAGGGAGCACCCTATAGTATACCTTTATTATCATTAATAATTTAAGTTAATTTAGGAAGTAAAGTACGTGTATTGGAAAGCAGTGTGTTTGGAGATTAAAATTAGATGGTCTGTGTATGCGTGAAACCTATCTACATATTTAAGGTTGTCATATATATGACTTAGTTCATTTGACTCTGACAATATAAATTCATACCTTAATATCTACATATACTATATTAAATTTATTCTTTTTTAACTCACATGTAGGTCAAACAAGATAATAACTGCCTACATCTTATATTACATTTGAATTTGTCACCATTCCCTCTATTAGCCTTTTTACTTCATATCTCCAGTAGAACACAAGTAACAACTATGAACAGCAGACAACGAAGTGAGCATACAAAATCAAATAAAGTTCCAGATAAAATTGAACAGGTCAATGACTAAATTGGTAGGTAACATAGTAACACTGACTTTGAGGTCATCTTTATATTTCTTTTTTTCTTAACATACTTTATATCAAACAAATTTAAATGAACATCCAAAACCTATTTCCTAGTTTTAGACCCAACCCATATACTTGCTTTCATTTTAAGTAGTTGGTAATTGAGATATCTTTTCTGACATTCTAGGGAAGTATAATAATGAGACAATCTTGCTCTCAGCACACAGCTAGATACAATTTTATGATATTATCTTAAAGGTAGGTGTCGTTTTAATTTCCATTTAATTATATTCATATGCATATACATGCTGGGTACTAAATGTGATGCAAAGATGATATATCTGATTTGGTATTTTAATAGCATACATACATTAACTCAGGCATTCTAAAGGTAAAATGGGTCAAATTTCTTATTTGAAAGGGGCTATTATTTACTCTTCTCCATTTGAAGAAAAAAATAGATCACAGTGATTGTAAACAATATGCAGTGTTCTCAATATAAGAATCAATGGGAGAAAATACCTGGTTGACATGGTCCAATTTAGGGCAAGGCCTCCCTCCATTATATGGTTTTTCACGCAACCATTTAGACCGAACCTTCACACCGCTCCCACAGGACTTGCTGCACCGTGACCAGTTGGACCACTCACTAAGCTTGCAGTCAGAGGGACAAGGGATGATGCAAGCCTCTTCGATGTAACCTAAATGGAAGAAAATGAGATGAGAGCCATCTCCTCCACATGTCACTTGCACACTACCACCCACCATGCTAGCTCACTTAGAAGGTCCAAGTTCGACTTGACAGCAACATGCAAATGCAAAGATGTCTCCGTCGTTAGGGACTCAAATTAAATTCTGCAGGAAAATGACACACACGTACAGAGACTCTGTTAAAATAACAGCTGAGCAGCTGCCATATGATCTGCTTAGGATTCATGCTCACCATACCTCAACATTTCTGACTTTCTGACAGCTCGTGTTTAATTGACAATAACCTGTCTGCTGTTATATCATTCTCATGCTGTCAGAATGATACATTAAAAAAATTATAACGGTTTTCTATAAAATGCTCTCTGTTAATGTCACGCAAGTTCAAGTTTTTGAGTCCATGCAATGTTCTTCCTCAAGAAGAAAGCCAGAGCCTCTCAATCAATATCTGAAAGGGAGCGTTTAACTTAGCACCTTATGCTTTCCCTTCTTTGAAAATCAAATCCGGAGAAGGAGAGTGAAGAATGTTAAATAAATAATGTCTCATATTTTTATAGTGCTGTCAATTTCAAAACAACTTTACATCTTGTTTTCATTTGATTGTCTCAAAAATCTTATAAATGTATCGGGCAGGTAGGTATTGATTTTCTACTGGATAGATATTCTAACAAATGCAGAAAGGTAATTGACAAGTGTGGGGGCACACAGTAAGAGATGGGGTCTAGTCCATTACTCGCTCCATCAAATCACACAGCCAATTAACTTAATCATCTACAGATGTGATTTGAGAAATGGGTGCATTTTCCTGGAACAGTCTCTTATTACCAGCTTGGCATTTCACAGTATCAATTTATCACTAGTATTCTCCAGGCCAAAATGTGGAGAAAGCAAAATTTCCCTTGGTCGAGAGTCAAATGCATGGCTGTTCTGTGTAATACTCTGATGTGCAGAGGGATTGTTCTTGTAACATTTTACATCAACTTCAAGGATTTGATTTTGAAAATGATAATATAAACAACTTGTACAAGGGAACTCTAGGTAGGTTTATACATTTTTTTTTATGGAGAAAATTCACATACCATAAAAGTCAGCTCACGTTTTGGATTTTAATATATTCAGTGGGTCATACAACTGTCACGACTATCTAATTTTAGAACATTTTCATCACCACGAAGAGAAACCCTATACCCGTTAGCAGCCATCTCCTATTTTCCTTTCCCTCGACACCCTGGCTACCACTCATCTATTTTCTATCCCTAAGAATGCACCAATTCTGGACATCTCATAAAATGAAATCAAACATTATGTGGTCTTTCTGATTGGCTTATTTCACTTAGTATAGTGTTTTCAGGGTTCCTCTAGGTTATAGCATATGTTAGTACGTCGTTCCTTTTTGTGACTGAATAATGATCCATTGTATAGATATATTTTGCTTATCCATTCGTCAGTTGATTGATATTTTAGTTATTTTCCTATTTTGTATATTATGGATAATGCTATGAACATTTGTGTATAAATTTCTGTTTGAACATGTTTTTAATTCTCATGGGTGTATATCTACAAGTGGAATGCTGGCTCATATGGTAACTCTATATTTAACTTTTTGAGGCAATTGTCAAACTGCTTTCCAAAAGTGTACCATTTTATAATACCACTAGCAAGGTATGCGTGTTCCAAATTCTACATTTGTCAAAACTTGTGTTTTTAATTTTAGGGTCCTTTGAAGAATGAAATTTTAAATGTCAATGAGTCTAATTTACCTATTTTTTTCTTTGGTTGTTGGGCTCTGAGGTCACATCTAGAAAACTACTACCTAATCTGAGGTAATAAAGATTTACACCTAGGTTTTCTTCTAAGAGTTTTATAGTTTTAGCTCTCATATTTAGGAATACGGTTCACTTAATTTTTGTATATGTTACGAAAAGCTGTGTGTGGCGGGGGGTCCAACTTCATTCTTTTATATGTGGTTATCATGTTATTCCAGGCCCATTTGTTGAAAAGGCTATTTTTTCTACATTGAATTATTTTGGTACCCTTGTTGAAAATCAATTGACCATAAATATAAGGGTTTATATCTCAATTCTAAATGCCATTCTATTGATCTCTATGCCAATACCACACTGTCTTGATTACTGTAACTTTGTTTTGAAGTTTTGAAGTCAGAATGCGTGAGTCCTCCTCCTTTGCTCTTATTTTTTAAAATAGTTTCAGCTTTTGGGCGCTTTGCATTTCCATATGCATCTTAGAATCAGCTTGTCAAGTCTTACCCAAAATGGCAGCTAAGTTTTTGATGGGAATTATGCTGAACAGCTTGATCAATTTGGGAGTATTGCCATCTTAATAATCCAGATACATGGAATTTCTTTCCATTTATTTAGGTCTTTCATTTCTTTCACTGATGGTTTCTAATTTTTAGTGTACACATCTTAACACTTCATTTGTTAAATTTATTCCTAAGTGTTTCATTCTTTTTATTGTAGGTAGAGTTAAAAGAGAACCTTTCATTATAGCGAAACAAGACCACCTAAAAACCAGTATGATAAATTTCATCTAGAAGCTTGTAACCAAAGTTACAGTTGAGACAGTGTTAAAAAGCTAGCCAGTTACTACACAGTATTTCCTAGCTTTATCACAAATTATGTGGAACACATGCTAAAATTGCAGGTTTCCAGCAATCCCCCACATTATGATACAGTTCAGTTGGGATAGGGTCTCACTTTTAGAAATTTAATGTATTTTCTTGCGTTTACTCACCATTGTTTTTTTATTGAAATCCTTTTATCAAGGTAATTGTGGATTCACATACAATTGCAAGAAATATGAGAAATAATATCAAGAGGTCCCTTGTCTACTTTTCCTAGTTACTTACAACAGTAACTATAGTATAATTTCAACCAAGATACTGAGACTGATACAATCCATTGAGCTTATCTAAGTTTCACCAGTCATCCTTGTACTCATTTATAAATGTGTGAGTGTGTGGGACTGAAATTAGGGAATGCTGTTGTAAGACAAGTCAGAACCAGTTGAATCTGGAGGAGAGGCAGATTTGTACACATCTTTCTACATACAGTCCCTGTATTTTTGCCAAAGTTACACATTAGCTGTTTTAAACTTAGTCTCCATACACAAATGTGCATCTTTTGTACAATTTCAAAAGTACGAAGTTCATTGAACACACACATGTATCCAGAAACCTCTTTGGTGCTCCCTTCCAATCACTATCCCTTCTCACATGGCAGCTACCCTAATTTCTCACAATGCAGAATTGTACTTTTTTTTTAATTTTTTTTTTCAACGTTTTTTTTTATTTATTTTTGGGACAGAGAGAGACAGAGCATGAACAGGCGAGGGGCAGAGAGAGAGGGAGACACAGAATCGGAAACAGGCTCCAGGCTCTGAGCCATCAGCCCAGAGCCCGACGCGGGGCTCGAACTCACGGACCGTGAGATCGTGACCTGGTTGAAGTCGGACGCTTAACCGACTGCGCCACCCAGGCGCCCCCAGAATTGTACTTTTAAAAAATGTTACGTAAATGGAGTCATACAGTGAATAACCATGTGTGCAAGCTTTCTTTCATTCTATAATGTGGCATGAGATTGATCCATATTTTTGCATGTTGTTGAAGGCTATTTATTTATTTTTTAATGTTTATTTATTTTTGAGACAGAGACAGAGCATGACTGGGGGAGGGGCAGAGAGAGAGGGAGACACAGAATCTGAAGCAGTCTCCAGGCTCTGAGCTGTCAGCACAGAGCCTGACGCAGGGCTTGAACTCACAGACTGAGATCATGACCTGAGCCGAAGTCGGAAGCTCAACCGACTGAGCCACCCAGGCGCCCCATAAGGCTATTCATTTTAATTGATATATAATATTCTATTGTGTTTATAATATTATGGCTTATTCGTACATTCTAATGATGGTGAGTGGATATTTTTTAAAAATATAATTTATTATCAAATTGGTTTCCATACAACACCCAGTGCTCATCCCAACAAGTGCCCTCCTCCATGCCCATCACCCACTTTCCCTTCTTCCCCACCCCCAACAACCCTCACTTTGTTCTCAGTCCTTAAGAGTCTCTTATGGTTTGCCTCTCTCCTTCTAACTTTTCTTCCCCCCCCTTCCCCTCCCCATGGTCTTCTGTTAAGTTTCTCAAGATCCACATATGAATGAAAACATATGGTATCTTTCTCTACCTGACTTATTTCACTTAGCATAATACCCTCCAGTTCCATCCACATTGCTGCAAATGGCCAGATTTCATTCTTTCTCATTGCCAAGTAGTATTCCATTGTATATATAAACTACATCTTATTTATCTATTCGTCAGTTGATGGACATTTAGGCTCTTTCCATAATTTGGCTACTGTTGAAAGTGCTGCTATAAACATTGGCATATATGTGCCCCTGTGCATCAGCACTCCTGTATCCCTTGGGAAAATTCCTAGCAGGGCTATTGCTGGGTCATAGGGTAGTTCTATCTTTAATTTTTTGAGGCAGAAGACATGAATGGATGTTTTTCAATGTGCAGCTATTGTTAACAAGATTGCTATGAGCCTTCTAGAATATGTCTTTTTGTGAACATATGTATTTTGGGGGGGACTATTCCTAGGAGAGAATTTGATGCATCAGAAGTACCACCTAATTGTAAGTAAAGTATAAAAAAAATCTTTTTAAAGATAGGATCACAAATTTGGCATGAAGAGCAGGGTGCAATGAAAGAATTTTCAGAAGTGTAGGAATTAGTCTCAGCTAGCCTTCAAGAGGGCAGATGAGGCAGCTGGGGCTTTGTCAGCTGTGAAACACTAAAGACAGAAAAAAGACACCAATGCTAAGTTTTGAATGTACTTCTGATACTGAAAAAGGCATCTGGACTATTGATAATGATATAGAGGAAAGTTTAATAAAAAATGAAAGTACCTTATGACAGTGTTTACCAAAATTTTGAAAAGTGTAACTATTCTTCAAATAGATTGCAGTGTCTACTTA